GAAGGAAAACAAATTGCAAAAACAACTGGATTTTTCTTTCTTGGCTGGCATATTGAACCAACCTAATTATTATAAGGCTAGCTCTCTATTCTGAAACTCATGTAGAACTTGGCTTTGATTTGCTTTACAAAAATCATGGAGGTCTGAGAATATTTTATTCAATGTTTTACTCGATCACAACATGCCTGCTATCTATAAACGATTCAGTTAAAGTAGGCCTTTTAAGCGCTCTGAGACTCTACCCTATGTGGTGGGCGCTATATAGGTGCAAGTTGTTGTTGTTGTTTGTCCCATTAATTTAGCTCATTATTTCTGAATATCAACTCTTCCCATTGGATCATTAGCTGTTTCTTAAATAAATGCACAGTCCTTGCCTCAAAAGACTTCCTGTTAATCTATTCTAGCCTTCAATTACCCTCTGTGTATTCAATAATGGGATGAAATTTTAGGATTTATAACTGAGAGATAATTAACGCTGATACGAATTATCACAAGGACAGACTTTGGAATTGTTTTGTGTCTAACACTAAATGACAGTTTATGGATAAAATATCTGCCACTTCTGAAGAATATTTTCACCTGTCAGTTTCTTTTTCAACTTGATTCTTTGATGCCACAATTTTTTATATTAAATACTAATGTTTGGTTGAATATTTTTCAGTCATAATTTTTTTAAGTATCTTGAGAAATGCTTCAAGGGGATACTTAACCAGTATAACTTATTAGTGAGACATGATTAGGTTTGGTCACCTTACTTCAGGAATAGATGTCAGAGCCATACAGGAAATGTATTTAGGTGATACCAGGGATGATAACCATGGGTAGTTTGACCTATGAGCAGAAACCAGAAGGAATGGGCCTATTTCCTTTGGTACAAAGAAAGTTGAAGGTAGTCCTGAAAGAGGTCTTTAAAATTATGAGGGGTTTTGATAGAGTAGAGAGAAATTATTTCCACGGATTGGTGAGCATGTGACTAGAGGCTATCAATTTAAGATCATATAAGCAAGGGAGCTAAGGAGATACAGAATTAGGATGTGGAAAGCGCTTCTGAGTAATATGGTCAAGCCAGAATCCAAATTAGAGGAAAACAGATTGATTGATAAAGAGGAATAATCTGATGGGATATAGGGAAAGACAGCGAGATGGATTTCATCCATGACATCTCCTCCCTCCTCTCATCCCACTGCCTCTGCACTGAACACCTGGTCATAATGGGTGATTTCAACCTTGATTCAAACTTCTCTTGCCCCATCTCCTCTGACTTCACTGCCCTCCTCTCCACACTAAACCTCACCTCCTCATAAACTTCCCGACCCACTCCCTCGATCTCGTGGACACCCCCTCGACATTGTTATCACTCCCGGCCTGGACGACACCAATCTGTCCATCACAGACAAGGCCATCTCAGACCATTTCCTCAACTGCTTTGCGCAATTGGCTGCTGCATTTCGCCCACAAAAATATACAGTCAATTCACTTTACAGTATATTCTGTGAAGCACTTTGAGACATCTCGAAGACGTGATAAGGCGCTTTATCAAATGCAAGGATTATTATTATATAATATCTCCCTCTCCTCCCGCATTCCCCTCCCCTCTTCCAAGCCTTCCGCCATCTTTTCCCACCCTTAGAAAAAGCTTCCACCCCACCAACATGAACGCCTTCTCTTCCTCGGATCTCTTCTCCCGCTGGCCTTCCATCCACAACGATGCTGATGCAGCCATTAAGCTGATAAATGATTGCCCCTCTGCAACCCTCAACTCCCTTGCCACTTGAAATCCAGGGCTGTCTACAAATCTACCTGCTCCCCCTGGTATAACAGTCACCTCTGCTCCCTCAGAAAACAAACCCAGTCGCTCAATCCAAATGACGCAAATCCAGCCTCACAATCATCCCTCATCTGTGGCTCGAGGATCTCCACAACCACCGCCTCTCCCTCTCGCAGGCGAAGACTGCTTTTTACTCCAAAGCCATTTTGGAGGCCAAAAACAATCCAAATTCACCATTCACCACCTACTCTGTGCACCCATCCCCCAAGCTGCCTCTATCCTCACCTCTAATGTCAAGTGTGAAGAGGTCCTAGACTTCTTCATGTCAAAGATTCAAAATATCCATTTGACTGCATTCTTCTCTCATACGTCCCCTTCCGCACCCCCTAGACTGTCAACACCAGGATTCATAACATCCAGGATTGACGATGCAAACTCCCTACCTCCCCAACACCTCCCTCCTTAAGACTGCAGATCATCCAGAACTCTGCAACTCATGTCCTCTCCCGCACCAAGCTCTGTGACCCTATCACCCCCATCCTTGATGACTGCACTGGCTTCCCATCACACAGAGGATACAGATCAAGATCCTGGGCCTCACCATCAAAGCCCTCCATGGCCTTGTTCCTCTCTACCTCTACGACTTCCTAATCTCCTACCAACCTGCCCGCTCCATCCACTCAGCAGGCTCTGGCCTGCATCATGTTTTCCGCCTCGCCTACCCCACCACTGGCGGTTGGGCCTTCAGCCATTCTGCCCTCACGCTCCGGAACACAATTCTGCAGTCCATCCACCTTGCCCCCCTCCCTTGCCTCCTTCAAGACACATCACAATACCCTACTCTTCAACCATGCCTTCGATAACCCTCCTTCACCCCCTTGCCCTCCAATCTCCCTGATCCTGACCCCCAGCTCGGGTCCGAAACACTGATTGTCCAGCGCCCTGGGACATCCTCCTCACGTGAAAGCGCTGTACAAATGCAATTTTGTTTTTGTTGTTGTCTCCTTAGCTCCACCATCAACAAGATCCAGCTGATCCAAAACTCCACCACCCACATACTCATCTGTACTAAACTGATCCGTACCCCCATCATGCAGGTTCTAGCTAAGCTCCACTGACCCCCTATCGCCAAACAAATCAATTTCAGGATCCTCACACTCATTTTCAAATCCCTTCATGCCTTGGCACCTCCCTACCTCTCCGACCTGCTTACCCCCCCAACCCACTACTCGCTGTCTCGTCTCGACTGGCTACAGCCTCCTGCATGACCCAAGTGCCCTTCGTTCCACCATCAGTGCCCGCGATTTCAGCCACTATACCCTGAAACTCTGGAACACTCTTCCTCTATCCCTCCGCCTTCCCCATTTTCAGATCGCGCCTGAAGACCTTCTTCTTTGACTATGCCTCGCCCCCACGGCTTGGCATCGTGCTCCGCCAATGGAGTCCTGTAGCTCAGCGGTTAGAGCACTCGCTTTGCAAGCGAGAGACCTGAGTTCAATTCCAGGCAGGGCGAAACCTTGGGCAAGTTTCCTTACTCCACACGCCTGATAGTAATCCCTCCAAAATCGAAAACAATAATAAATTGGTCATTTTCAATCTACGACTGTTTGTGGGACATTGCTGTGCGCAATTGGCTGCCGCGTTCGCCCACAAATATACAGTCAATTCACTTTACAGTGTGTTCTGTGAAGCGCTTTGGGACGTCCTCCCGACGTGAAAAGCGCTATATCAAATGCAAGGATTATTATTATTATTATTAATGTCAAGCACTCTGGAATGCTACCCTGCATGCGGAGCACTATATAAATGCAAGTTTTTGTTCTCTTTCAAAGAGCCAGCCCGGACACGATAGACAACGTGGCCTTCTTCTGTGCTGTAAATTGATACGTTCCTAGGTATGCAGAATATCTCACCAACATTGATCATATCCAATTCAAATAAATTCAAATGACAAGTAAATTTAAAATTTGCGGTGATACATTTTAATTCTTAATAGTATGGTCTAAGAAGAAAATCAAAAGTGAGCAAAGTCATAGTAATCCAAGATTGTAGAAGAGCGAATTTAGAATATCTTTTATTTAAGCAATTCAGTTAAGTCATAATAATAATCCGTGCATTGGATATAGCGTCTTATCATGTTGTCAAGAGGTCTCAAAGCTCGTCACAGAATTTTACTATTTATGTAGTGACTCAGTATTCTGTAGACAAATGTGCAAGCCAATTGCGCACACCAATGTCCCACAAAGCCTTGAAATAAGGGGAAATATTACAATATAGAAATTGACTGAGTAGAAGAACTATATGTAAGTTCTGCTAATAACTTATTTTATTAAGAATTCTTAGTATTCAAACAATGTTGTGACACCTTAGGAACCCTAAATAATACATATTGTAGTTGTTGGTAGAATATGTTTTAGACTGGTAACAATTTTAATTCAATTTTGAGAAATATAATAAAAACATTTGGACTACCAGCACACTAATTTTTGGTAGCAAAAATGGTAACAATATCAGTGGCAAACTGGTAGTTGCAATAAGCTCAACAACTTCCAATTGACAGCTGTCACATTTTCAATTCGAGTGAGCTCATTAATATCAGTCTTAATTACTAGCAAACACATTCAAAAGCACCCTACTTCTAAGCGTTTAATTTAAAGCAGAGTATGTACAGAGAGAAATCAGTACAGAAGTAAAAACACACAAAACAAAATGAAGACAGACACAGAGCAAAAATAACATTTATTGTGAAATTCTAGAGGTCACTCTGATGGAGAAAATGAAATACATAAAATTAAGTTGTCACATTAATCAGAATAGGACAGATAGAGCATACAGAGAAAGCAAGGATGGACATGAAGGATTGAGACTGAATGTTATGTCTGTCTTTTTATCATTCTTATTTATCATTCTGTTTCTTTCTTTTCCTCAGACTTCTGTTTTTTTAAAACATTTTCTCCTTATTGTTCTATTTTCTTTTATGTTGTTTATTTTTCTTTGTTCCTTTTTCGTTATTCCATATAGTCATAGTTATGAGTTACATCAGCTATATCTGTATATTTAGCAGTTAGTGCACAGTTGATGTTGATGTTCCAAGAAGAACCTCAATCAGAAAAAAAGATTCATTTTTTATGCTGTAGCTGCTATGCCATTTGTAGTTAGTTCTCCCTTTTCCTGACAACAAGATCACATTGCTCATCTGCAGAAGTGAGTAATAAATCACTCAAACATTTACCTCTGTGTCACTAGAGTCCATATGGTTTTCAAAGTGCTGCAATCCTCCATTTTGTTCAACCTGTACTCCATATGTCTCTGTGTTGGGAACATGCCTTAACTGAAAAATAATTAAGAAAAAGAACCATTTGTTCATTTGAGTTGCTTTTCTTAAAAAAAATGTTATATACACATTAAGTAAAAGTTTCAGAGAACAACACGCGTAAATATAGTACACTTCATGGGAGTAGTGGCTTTTCTGCCATAGCAGAAAATAAAGTTCATGATAAAGGTAAAATTACAATTACCTTTCATTAATCCACTGTAAATCAATACCAACAAGAAATTACACTTGTATAGCACCTTTCACGTCAGTTTGAATAGGGTTGTTTTAATAACTGTTGCTAATTTATATTTGTAGTGTTTTTCAATGTAAATACTTCTATACCTGAGAATTTCATATCTAAAATGTAATACTTCTCAGGTATGTCAAATGTCATTCGCAGTTTAAATAGCTTAGCAAACTATTTTCTTCTCATGACTCATCTCCTATCATAAACACGTTCAATTCTATATTGGCCCTGGCTGAGATTACTTAACTCAACAGATTGCAGATCAAACCCGGAACCTTCTTGGTTTTGTATAGCTGATTCACACAAGGCAATTCTTTACCAATGAGGGTATCCTATCTATACGTATAGGGGTGAAAAATGCAATGTTTCATAACAGTTTTGATATCATACGTTGGTATCTCCCATATTTAGTTGCACTCAAAAAATCTCCATGATCGGAAGCAGCAATGAAACAAAGAATTCTTATGGCCCAACCGTTATGCCAAGGCCAAGCCATTAGCAGAGAAGGGGTATTCTCACTTCTTTACCAGCTGCAGGCCAAAAATAATTTTATGAAATAAAAAGTGAAAGGTAAAAAGACATTCCAGCAACTGGAAACCAAAACTTCGGTATTGGCTGAAAATGGAGGAAAAAAGGCCAATTGACCAAGAGAAACCATTCTTCTAAAATAAGCGTCCACACCAGCACTTTGTTCACATCAGGAGGATGTCCGGAGGCGCTTGGCAAAGCACCCAACCTGGGGTATTTGTATAATATTTATAGAGCTATATTTGTATACTATTCTGAATTACAAGTACTCATATGCTTTGCCTTATTATGCCTAATTCAGTTAACTACAACAACAACTTGCATTTATATAGCACCCTTCTTACAGGGGAGCATTCTGGAGTGTTTGACAGTGATGGAGTCTGACCCCGAGAGGTTGAGAGGGAGAGAGGAGGTGACCGTAAACACAATCAAAAACAAAGGTCTTTAGGCGGGATTTCAAAGTGGGATTTGAAACGTAAAGAACTTCAGAATTGCATGGTTTGTATGATGAGCTCCCAACTCCAAACTGCATCAGATCATGCACAGCCTTTGAAATGATTTCTGAAAAGTTCAATACTCAAATAGATTCAACCTGAACAAAATTAATACGTTCCCCTTGTGTTCCAGTCTTCCCACAGAATACCATTTCCTTGAGTCTAACTTAGCCATTACATGGAAATAAGCCGAAGGAATCATAATGTAAAATAAAAGAGCTTTCAGACACTTTCCTCTTTTCCCTAAATTCTCTTCTGAAACCACACCACCTCACCACGCCCCTCTCTCTCTTTTCAAATCTGTCCCACCTCTGACTGCACCTAGAGCCATCCCCTATGTCTCTCCGAGCTCAGGCTACCACTCAGTCTTTGAGAGGTTCTCCTTGGGTGAATGGCTATTTAAGTGAAAATTGTAATAACACTGATGATCACTCAGCTGTCAGTGGCAACTATTTAAAGACCAACAGCAGTGGCATCAGAAACGGCTGAAGGTCTGGAAATTGCCATCAATTAGTCTTTTATAATAAGAAGTTGTACAGAATACTTCCTTTATTTGAATTACACTTACATCAATTTGTTGTGAATAGATATTCTGATCAGCACTACAATACTTCTAAATTTACAGCAACGTTATGTGTACATTCAGAAAACTGATCAACAGTTTGTCATGTGTGATCTTCATTTTCAGATTAGAAAACATGAAATGTATATGCTGCAACCCTAATTTACTACCACAAAACAAAGTGCAACAAATTGATTAAACGGAATTATCTAATGTTTGTAAAATAATGTAAAGATCTTAAACAGCCTTACCCCTGGACTGCTGCTCAAGTTTCTGGGGACCAATGGAGAAGAGTTTGTCTCTTCCCATTTCTCTACCACTTGATTGACTTCAGCAGTCTTTTGCTCAAAGCTTTTATTTGTGTTGAGCAGTGTGACCTCATAAAATTCTTGGATGTCTGAAAAGAAAAACAGAAAAACATATAATTCCTCTGATACACTATATTATGTAGGACGAATATGGCTGCTATAATATACAGTATTCCCAATGGTGACACATTAAATTTCAATATATCTACCAGACATGTATGACCTGAGCAAAAGTGCTTTGATATCCAAAAGTTTAAATAGCTTTTTGATTCCACTATCATTAAAGTTAAATAACAACAACAAGTTACTTGCGTATAGCGCCTTTCACTTTGGGAGGACGTCCCAAGGCACAGGACGTTAGGGACAGCTAGGAATTCGATTAAAGAACAGTTTTAACCATTTTTATAATTTACTTTTTTCTGCCCAGTCAAGATGTTAAATTATTATCCTTTTTTTAAAGAATGCAACAATAATCAGATGAGTTTAAATGACTGTATAATGCAGCAATTCCCTCAAAGAACATTTTGGTTTATAAATACAGTATTCACAATTTAAACCAGGACACAGAACATACCATTAATTTATTACAGGAACAGTTTTAAAGAAACATTGAAATACTATTCTACTTTAGATTATAATAAATATGAAGCTATTGGAAAATTTTCACATGTACAAACAAAACATACTTATAAACTACCGGCCTACAGTAGGGGTATTGCAAGATCTGATGTTCAATACCCCAATCCATTTAATTATCATTATCTAAAGGAATCATGTATTAGTTTAAACTTCAAACATACAAATGCACTGTATAACTCATTGCAGGTGTTCACCTACAATGTAAAGTCCGGTAGTGTATTGGTTGGAGCCCTCACTTCACAAGCGAGAGAACCAGAGTTCGATTCCCGAGGCAAGTTTACTTACTCCACATGCCTCTGTTTACCTAGCAATAAGTAGGAACCTGGTTGTTAGTCGATTGGCAGATCACTTTCGGGGTGTAATAATCCCTCCAAAATAAATAAATAAGCAAACAAATAAATAAATTATTTGGTCACTCAATCCATGGCTGTTTGTGGGGCACTGCTGTGCACAATTGGATGCTGATTTTCGCCCACAAAGTATACCATTCACTTTACAGTATATACTATGAAGCTCTTTGAGACCTCTTAATGATGTGATAAGTGTCTATATCAAATGCAAGAATTATTAATAAAATTATTAAGAACTTACATTCTATAGCACCTTATCACGTCAAAATTGGATCACAAGTAAGTACTGCCAAATGTAGTGACTGTTTTTGTTGGTCAATTATTCCAGTTTTTACTTAGTCAGTTATAATCTGAAAACATAAAATACGAACTTCTTATGATCAATGAAATCATGATAAATTCTCTGCAGTTACTAGAAGCCACTCAAATGCGAACAGTGTTGAATAATGTTTCAGTGAGTAAATACTGTATGTTGATTCAATAAAAGAAATAATTTGGCCATTTCAAACATGAAATTATAGTTGTAAACAAATACCACACACCCTTCCACATTTACTTTAAGAAGTTAAATAAATGGCAAGTCTATGGTCTGAGAGTAAATTAAAACTACTTACAGTGAACCAAAACTTCCTTTGTCTCCATGAAAGTATTAGGACCAGTTAGACTTGAAGTAAATCAGATTGCAACTGCTGCTACACTGAATACACAACTAGCTAATCCTCACTGCAAGCCTCTGATCATTCATCACAATCGGTGACCTTCAACCCAACAAACCGCTCCCACCTACAGCTGCTTTCTAATTCTGATTTACTGACACGCAAGTGATCAAATTTGAATTTTAAAAAATTCATGTCATAGTTTAACACGAATGGTAATTAAATGGAAATTTTAAACAAGTACGCAAACATCTTAAGCAAAAAAGTATCACAACACTGCGAGGATGACTTAAGATGTGGATGGGATTCTTTTATAATGCAAGATTCCTATTTTGTCAAGGTATATGAATTAAGCTGCAATTTGAATCTAATGAAAACTGAATATGTGTGATCCTTATTTTCCAAAGAAAAAAACATCAAAGCAGTACCAAAAATATTTTCTAACAAAACAACGATAGTTTCAATCAATCTGCTTACCACAATAAATAGTTGAGAATACACCAAATGGCAGACAACAGGTGCAATGTAATGGCAGCTGTCTATTGGCTGAAATGCCCTAAGTAGTCTGATTTTACTGGATTAACCACCCATCTTTCCTGCACTAGAAATTAGCAAATAAGAACTGTCCTAATTCCATATTTTGAAAACCTTATTTGGATGAACAGATTTCTCCGTGTTTTCCTCTACTATTAGTTTCTGAGCAATGAAGAGCTATAATAGTTGTTTTCATTGATCAAAATGATACACATGTAAACAGATGAAAACATTGTGTACAGAAGGTTCAGGAACACAAGTGGTGGAGCACTTGGTCTCTAACCAGTGTTTCTTTTGTTCTTGCACTCTAATCTCAATATAACTCATCATTTATTAAATTGTGAGAATCCATTCACAACAGAACAATGAACATTAATAGAATAAATCAAAATATAAAGTAGCCGACATCAAACATTTATATTTAAATACATTGTCATTAAATTTACTACTTATGATCATACAGACTGAAGGTTTTCCTTAGGAGTTTAAGAAACAAATCTTCAGTAAAACTCAAGGGCTTTGAGGATAATTTATCATTCAGAGCCCTGATAATCAATCAATGCTAAAATAGTATCTGTGCAAATTCCTTGGCTTTGGTGTTTGGGGCCTGCTGCACATTCCTCCCACCCCTACTGTTAGCAGCCATCCTTTCAGATGCTCTGTGGAACATCCCTCCAAAATCACTCCACTCCCATTTCCAACCGCCCTTTCCTCTCCAAGATCCTAGAACGAGTCGTTGCTTCCCAGCTTTGCTCCTTCCTCTCCTGCCATTCCTTTCACGAACCCCTCCAATCGGGTTTCCGTGCCGCCCACAGCACTGAAACTGCCTTGGTCAAAGCGACAAATAACATTCTGTCCATCTCAACCAGAGCTCCCTCTGCCTCAATGACACCGTTGACCACTCTATCCTCATTCACTGCCTCTCCTCTCACCTCAACCTTCACGGCTCTGACCTTCACTGGTTCAGATCATACCTCTCACACTGCCTCCATTTCATCTCCACAAACGGCTTCTCCTCTAGCCCCCGCACCGTCTCGTGCGGCATTCCTCAGGGCTCTGTCCTTGGTCCCCTCCTCTTCAATATCTATATGCTTCCTCTGGTGACATCATCTGCAGACATGTGGTCAACCTCCACATGTATGCGAATGACACCTAACTCTATCTCTCTGCCTCCACCTTTGACTCCAAGACCACTGCTGTCCTGACAGAATGTCTGTCAGACATCAAGTCCTGGATGAGAGCTAACTTTCTTCAGTTGAACGTCAACAAGACTGAGGCTCTCCTGATTGGCTCCCGTTAGCGCCTCCTCACCTCGGGCGCTGACAGCATCACCATCCATAATATTAATAATAATCCTTGCATTTGATATAGCACTTTTCACGTCGGGAGGACGTCCCAAAGCGCTTCACAGAACACACTGTAAAGTGAATTGACTGCATATTTGTGGGCGAACGCGGCAGCCAATTGCGCACAGCAATGTCCCACAAACAGTCGTAGATTGAAAATGACCAATTTATTATTGTTTTTGGTTTTGGAGGGATTATTATTAGGCATGTGGAGTAAGGAAACTTGCCCAAGGTTTCGCCCTGCCTGGAATTGAACTTAGGTCTCTCGCTTGCAAAGCGAGTGCTCTAACCACTGAGCTACAGGACTCCATGGATGCACACTCCACCTTACTAAGCCAGTCCGGAAGCTTGGGGTCTTATTTGACCCTCAACTATCCTTTCTACCCCACATATGCACGATGACCCTCTCTGCCTTCCCCCACCTCCCCAACATCGCCCGGCTCCGCCAATGTCTCACACTGCAGGCCGCCGAAACTCTCTTATATGGTTTCATCACATCGAGTCTCAACTATGCAAACTCCTTGCTTGTCGGCCTCCCCAACTCCTCCCCCCACAGGCTGCAGATAATCCAGAACTCAGCAGCCCGCGTCCTCTCCCGCACCAGGCTCCGTGACCCTATCACCCCCATCCTCGCCCGACTCCACTTGCTTCCCATCTCACAGAGCATACAGTTCAAGATCCTGATCATCACCTTCAAAGCCCTCCATTGTCTTGCTCGCCCCTACTTTTGCAACCTCCTAACCCTCTACCATCCTGCTCGCTTCCCCACTCAGCGGGCTCCAGCCTGCTTCATGTCCCCCACCTCGCTTGCCTCACTATTGGCGGGCGGGCCTTCTGCCACTCTGCCCCCACCCTCGGGAACTCCAACCCACAGTCCCTCCGACTCGTCCCCTCCCTTGCCTCCTTCAAGACCCATCTCAAGACCCTCCTCTTTGACCGTGCTTTCGATCTCCCTGCTTCCTCCCCTGCCCTCCAGACTCCACGACCCCCAGCTCGGGTTCAAAACTCGTGAAAGGCGCTATACAAATGTAATTTTGTTGTTGTTGTTTCCCTTTCTGCCTTTAAACTAACAATTGACCAATTTAACTGTACCTCCTCCACTTCCCAGCTTGCTGGGATATTCACACTGTTCTTAGCAAATGTGAGAGGCAATTTGCACAAAGCAATATCAATAAACAGCCGTCAAGTGAATGCCCAGTTTTATTTGGGGGATTGTTGACCAGTAGAAAGAAGAAATTCCCCTCTTTCTCAATAGTATCACTAGTTCCTGAGCTTTCATCTCAACTGTCAGACGGGTCCTTGGTTTAATGTCTGAAGGTTGGTACCTCCAACACTGACTTGTTGCTGAGGATCCTAGAGGCGGAAACAGCTTCATGGCGGGCACATCTATTTTCCAAAAGCCCCTTACAAGAGGACCTTGATTAAGCATTTGATGCTGAATAAACACAGTACTTGGCATTACACTTATAACTCTAGAACATTAAATGGCTGGCAATAATGAAGCCTGGCAAGGACTGGAATTTCAGTGTTTAACATGTGTGATGATACAGACAGTGGAGGTTTA